AAAAACACCAAAAACTCAAAAAATGCGCTTTTCTTGGGAGGGATTAATGAGGTCTCATCTTCGAATCCTATTAATAGCAATTCATATGTTCTTTTGGTTGGAACTATAAAAGCCCTATTCTCTCTCTCTCGTTTATCTCTCGCCCTTTCATCGACAACCATTGAGCACCAACCATCGACAACAACCAAAGCACTGACCATTCCCACTATTTTACTCTCTCTCTCTCTCTCTATCGTGTTTGGATATGAGGGCAAATCATTTTGGATCTAAGGATGGGGTTGGGTGATTGGTTTCGATAGTTGTTGGTGACAATAACAATCGAATACTCTCTCTCTCACTCATAGGAAATCGTTTGCATTAGAGGATAGGGTTGGTGGTGGGTTTTCGGTGGTTGTTGGTGGTAAGTTATGAAGTGGGGTTGGATGGTGGGTTTCGGTGGGATTGAGTAGTGGGTGGTGGGTTTCGGTGGTTATTGGTGGTGGGTGGTAGTGGATTTTGAGTGATTGTTGGTGGTTTTTGGGTGGTTGTTAGTGGTGGATTTTGGTGGGGTTAGGTGGGTTTACGTGGTATTGAGTGGTGGATTTTCGGTATAATATCAAACATATTTTTTATTTTTTGTTTTCACAAATTTTTTAAATATAAATGCCTACTAAATATATTTTATATTTTTAATTTTTATCACATAAAAAATAAAAATATTACTAAACGCACCCTTACAAAAAAAAAAGTTAGGTCTGCATCCAGAAGGGGGACCAACTCAATAGATGCATTCAGGGTGGGACTGTTCGTGCTGGTTTGATATAAGCCTGAGTGCATCCATTTAGTTTTTCACAAAAATCACATTCTTAAAGTTCTTTGCTTGAATGACTTCAAGCCTTTGGATCAAAAAAAAATGGCTTGCAGCCATTTGTATATAGCCCAGAGTTCTGCTTGGATACTGGATGAATCAATCAACTTTCCATAAAATCCAAATATATCCATGCGTTCCTTGGTCGTTCCTGATTAACCATCCCAATCCTTTTGAGCATCCATTCATGTTCATTTTAAACCATCCTCTAAAACGGGAAAGGACCACTTAAATGAGTCTGGGTGGTTTTATAAGACTTACCACTTGGGTCCCTAAAATACATTAGTAATTTTTTTAAACTCGGCTCGGCTCAGCTCGAATTCGACTCATGTTATAAATGAGTTGAGTTTGAATAATTGCTTAAGCATATTTAAAAAAATAAACTTAAAAGACTCAATTCGAGCTCGCAAAACTGCGTTTATATGTAAAATAGTCGAATTATTCGGGATCGAGCTCGCAAAACTCGACTCGTTTATATGCAAAATAGTTAAGTTATTTGAGTTCGGCTCAGGTTCGACCTAGACTCGGGTCATTTTCTAAACAAGTCTAATTTGGACAATTTTGTAGACTGGTCTAAAAAAACGAACTCGACAAATTCAAGTTCAAATTTGTAAAGTTGGACTTAATTTACATCCTACGGCCATGCATATTTTATCACAACTTTAGGGTTGTGTGTGGGTGTACTCCTTATACTCTTCTTGACCTTGTTCCTGTCTTTCCATATTTGCCGAATAGACGTAACGAGTGTTGGCCATTTCACTCCGAGACTCTTCTTCTCCTATCCTTGATTTCTTCACAAACGACTTCTACCCCTTTTCATGGTAAAACTGCAGGAGGACCTGCTTCAGGTCTGAAGCATTTACTGCACCCACCTTTCATATGTCAAAGTTGCCAGCACTGGAATGGCTGGACTCATTTATTACTCAACCTCACTGTTGTTTTGGGCACCACATTGCTCTCAGAGAGCAGAGGAGAAAATTTTCCATACTTACTGGTACACACACCTCTCATTTTTACTAGAGGTGACAACTCATATAACTTGGCATATCAAACCCGGATTTAAATTTGAATTAATATTTAAGAAAAAATATTAATTTAATAAAAAATATTTAAAATTTTAATGATGGTGAAATATGGTTATTAAAATTTTATCATCTGATAAAATTTAACTATTAGATATTTAAATAAAAATTTGAATCTCTTGCTTTATTTTACTAGTGAAATTTGTTTTAAACCTATTTTTACTCAAATTTTAAATTTGTGCTAAAATTTGAATACGAGTTGGAGATGTTTTCTTGATCAAAAAAAAAAAAAAAAATCGAGATGTTTTTAGTAGTAGTGCACTTGTATTAAGGATTGGATATAGTACAAAATATTTTTTTTTAGTATCATATATATATTTTTTATTTACTTACAGTATAACATGTGTAAAATTAAATTAAATTATTATTTTATTTTATATTGTTCATTATTTATGATCCAAAATTTATTTTTTTTGATTTGTTTCTAAAAAGTTTTGTGTACCAAAGGTCCATTGAAGCATGTGGGATCAGCCTCTCTCACGCTGAGAGAGTGAGAGAGGAAAATCAATGTCTTGATTGGTTGACTAACTTATTACTTATAGGGGTTGAACAAGGAAGGAACTTGTGGAATTGGAGAATCCACCTGCCACACTCTCAACAGTTTTGAGCGCCAACTTAGCCAGCATTTGTTTTGGAATAATATCTCACTCAAATTTAAATTTGAGTAAAAAATTTTAAAATACTTGCTCTAATTTTTAACTCAAATTTATATGAAATCAAGAGATACTCATTTTTTTACTCAAATCAAGAGAGACTCAAATCCTTACCCAAATTTTTAATAGTGAGATTTCACTATCTTTTAAAGATTCAATAATCATCTTTATTCTCATTTAAATTTGAGTTTGTCCTCGTTTAAATTTGAGTTCGTCCTTTAAATTTGAGTTTTTTCGTTGGAGCCCTTTATATCAAATCAAACTTTTTAGAATTAAATTTGAGTTATGGTCGAAGATATTCTAAGAAATCCAACTAATTGAGGATTCCTCCAGAGCAACAAAAAAAATGGTGAAGAAAAATTATTATAGGTGCCTGTTTTGTTCAGAACTGAAAGAGAAAAAAACAAATTTGAAAAGAGAAAAATCTATACTCAAAAATGGGAATGATAACCGGTACTTAGTTTTATACTAATAAAAAATGTTGTTGGAATTTTACAATGAGAAAACCTTCGTGATAACATCCAAAGAGTTATTATGTATTGGTCGTCCTGTCTTTTTACCTAGTAAAAAATGAAAAAGGAAAGCCTTTAAATAAAAAAAAACATTATTGTTTCCTTTCAAAAAAAATTAAAAAAGGAGCTTTGGAGGTAACCATGTAAATATATGTGTTTGTTTTAATCGGGTTTAAATTATAACACATTTCCCACGATCATCACGAGTTATATATGGGCGGAATCGAAGGTTAGAGGTGGGCATGATAAACGAGGACCCCTCTTCCCTGATAGAGGCAACGTTCCTCATGTTTGTAGTGTCATGCTGTCAAGAGTTTCAAGTTTTGGAAACGCCTGCAGTGGAATATTCTTTGTGGATTTGCGTTCGTGTGGTGATGGTACCACATACCTTTTCCATTTGGACACAGACTCTTCTTTTTGTTTAGGATTCGAGATATGTTTCTTTAGGAAGATATTTCTAAGAGCAACAGATGGTGTCGAACATAGGAAGATCAATTGCAACATCTCTGTCATTAAGATAATCCATCTAAGATAGAATTAATGTTCTGTTTGATAAGAAAAATAAAAAGTGGGAGGGATGAAAAATACGAGAAATACACTTTCTATCCTTCAAATAAAAAAAATAGGAATGCTATACTTTCCTTCCTTTATGTTTGGTAGGATGGATGAAAAATAAAAATAATTAATTTTTTTTTTGTGATTGGTAAGATGGAAAAAAAATATTTTTTTATATTTTTATTTTAATTTTTTTTAAAAGTAAAAAAAAAATATTTTATTATTGTCTATATATGAATATATCAAAGGATACATTGACAAATAAAAATATATTTTAACACAAATAATTAATTTTTTATTCACTTTCTTTCCGATTTTGGAAAGATTAATTTTGGTGAGTTAGAAAGAAAACTCATTTATCTACTTTTCTATCTTTCTTATTTTTCTTTATTATCAAATATAATATTTTATCTATTTCTCTAACTTTTTATCCTTTAATTTTTTTATCATTTTATACTTTTTAATCTTAATAAACGGTGCACTAGTGACGGAGACAACTGACCAGTTTAACAAGTTGAATTTCATTGCTTGTGTGCATGCTAATAATCCTAATCTTTGCTTGTCATTGCTCCATCAATGCAATCAATTTTTTCTTATTGCACAAAAATGTGATTAGTATACTCTTTAAAAAAAAAACATAGATATGAGTCATTAGCCTGCTTGTAAAAATAAACTTTGTAAAAGAAATGATTTTTGCATCTTATGCATATTTTGTGTCTTGGCACCCTATAGATACGAGGGTAAGTCTAGGCGCAACGGTAAAATTGTTTTATTATAATTTGGAGGTCACATATTCGAGTTGTAAATACACTATTTCTACTTGTAGAAGTAAGATTGTATATATCTAATCTTCCTCTGACCTCACAATAAAAAGAGTATCGTGCACCAAAATACCTAAAACATATTTTATGTATGGTTTGAATGTCAAAACTTAAAGTTAAGATTAGAGATCCTTGACTATCTAGAATAATCTTGTGGTAACCATGTAAGAAGCAAATGAAAACTTTGATTCATTTTATCATTTGTTCCTTCTAATTGTCAGTCTTATTGTCAAACACTTTTGACCTATTGCTTTCTTACGAGAATTCGTTCCATATCCTTAAAACATTTTTGCTAATACAAATTTAACAGAAACAAATTCCATAGAATATTCATCCTTTGTTTTCATTGCTCGGACTCATTTTTAACGTGTGCCCAAAACCAAAATATCCCCACTATTTATAGAGGTAGCAGGTTGGCACAGATGTGTTGTCCATCCTAGGCAGCTGCGACCACCTGGCCCAAACGACCCAAAAAAAAAAAATCTCCAGTTTGGGACTCTCTTTTTTCTTCTCTCTCCTCTTTCTCTACAATGGAGGCAAAAGCACACGATGGGTATTCTGTAACCAGACCGCTCCTGCATGGGGATTATGAGAGGCAACAAAAGATTTACGAGGAGGAAGTTGAGGGAGTGACAAACTCCATTGCTGGCACTACCTCCTTTTTCAAGACCTGTTTTAATGGACTCAATGCTTTATCAGGTTCTTCTTCTCATTTCATTATTATTTTGTCCTCTCCAGTATAAATTCTTGAGTATGTGTTTGTTGTTTTGTTCTCTCCTACAGGGTATACCTACTCTGCTACGCTTTAATTTCTCCTAAATCTATTGAAATTTAAGCATTGAGGTGATAGTATAACAAGTGCTCTTTCGGGTTGCTGAGAAGCTTCAGAAACAAAAATAAAATGGAACAGGACCATAAACTATAGGAATATACATAATATGTGAGCTACATTAGAGGGGAAAAAAACTTTCGCACAAGAGTGACTATGGAGATCAGGGGCTTTTCACAATAAGGCAACCAAAGCAAGTACATTATTTTCAATTTATCTCTTTAACTTGTTCTTTAGATTTCTGGGCTTCCAAGCATGGTATGTTAAATCATAACCTTTTTTTTTTTGCGATGGCAATGATTTCTTACACTACAGGGGAGGGGGAGGCGAATCGAACCTTCAATATGCCGCTCCATTACAGAGGGCTTAAATCATTCGGGTAGGACTGAGGTCCAGAAATCATAACCCTTTAAGCAGATGGGATTTATTGATTTAACAATCTTGGACTTTGTAGTAGTTGTAGACCTCAATACGAATAATGGTACTTTTGCCCTAAAAGTGCCCTCCAATTTTACCTTATGATCTCAAGCAAGCACTGTGTTTTGTTATTTCACTAAATATATGTCTGCTATCAATGGATTTGCTTTGAGCCATGCAGCTGGATTATTTTCTACTTTTTTTCTCACTTGCTAAGTGTTCAATGCTTTATGAAGACCGTGTTTAGCAGTTTGGAGTATTGCTTGAAGAAATAATAAGAACTGAATTTGATACTGCATAATGAACTAAGAATGGGTATATAGCCAGCTTCATATCAGAATGTGAGCTTCCTAATTGAACAATGAGAGACAGCCGGTCCTATTAAACTGAAGATCTTGCAATGTGTTATTATCACAATAACTATATCTCATCATTGAACATGAGATTGTTAACTTCCAGAACCCATTCCTTACATAGGTAATCTTCGTGCTAAACATAGTCCTCATTTTGCTCTCACCCTTCTTTGGATCTTATTCGAGCCAAGTCATGTGCTTCAACAACTTTTTGGAATCGTAGAGTAGCTAAATTTAGATTCTCCTTTTGATTGGTTTCTCAGGAGTTGGAATATTGTCGATACCATATGCATTATCATCAGGAGGCTGGTTGAGCTTGATACTTCTTCTCATTATTGCCAGCTCAACCTTCTATACAGGCTTGTTAATTCAAAGATGTATGGATGTAGATCCAAGTATCAGAAGCTATCCTGATATCGGTGAGCGTGCATTTGGTACAACCGGAAGAATGCTTGTATCCATTATCACAAATTTGGAACTCTACTTGGTTGCGACAGTTTCCTAATTGTGGAAGGGGATAATTTGTGCACCATATTACCAGACATGGGAATCGACTTTGCTGGGCTAAGAATTGGTGGAAGACAATGCTTTGTTATAATTGTTGGTCTCATTATACTGCCTACTGTTTGGTTAAACACTTGAGCATTCTCTCATATATCTCTGCCAGTGGAGTTTTAGCTTCTGTCATTATCCTTGGCTCAGTTATGTGGGGCTGGCACATTTGACGTATTTAGTGATTTCAAGAAAGTGGAACGCTT